TAGTTCAGACCGTTTAAAGGGGTAATTGGCATGGGAAAAACCATGTTTTCACCTCCCATACCCGCTGTGCTACGGGTTGGTGTAGCCCCCGATGAAGTTGATTCATAATTTTCCATCGGATACTACTGAAAAACAATCCAAACACCACCCAACTACACAGCAGCCACAATCAGAATACCAACCCTCAAGGAATTTACTTCTAGGATGTGAGCAAGAGACCAAAAAACACTGCTGAAAACAACTCTGAGAAGGTTTAGTCAACACAACCAGTCATTAAACCAGCCCGGTAATCAGTTCAACACCACCAAGACAGACATTACTATCAGTCTGACTGTAGTTCATACAGTCTAACCATCCAACATCCAAACAAATACCTATATAACAAAGGAATGAGCCCTACACACCATCGACCAAAGAAGACTGAAACAAAAAACACACCTGTTCAGCACTTGTACGAAGGTGCTAACCTGAACTTGACTTCACAGCATCGAACAGAGGAGGAAGGGAGTCTGTACCAACATTGCCCTTCTCCGACTAGGATTTTCTTGGTATTACGACCAAGGAAAAAACCACAGAAACTGCCGCCAGAAAACTGCTAGGGTTTCCATAGAGACTGCTGCCAGAAAACTGCTAGGGTTTCCACAGAAACTGCTGCCAGAAAACTGCTAGGGTTTCCACTAGTAACCTACTAGGGTTTCCCTGTCTTCCACGTCCAAAACTTTTAAAGAAGGAAACCTTGCTCAAAACAGGAGGGATCGTAGGTCTTTTACAGCCCAGAAAACCTACTCTGATACCATGTAATGATTTATGGAGAGTGGGAGAGAGAGAGAGAGAGAGAGAGAGAGAGAGAAAGAAAGAAAAGAAAAAGAGAGGTGCGATTGAAAGAAGAAAGATGCTATTGGCTGCCGCCAGTCTTCTATTTATATTAACTTAATAAAGGAATAGAAATTACAAGTATGCCCCTAGCGGCACACCCTAGAACCAAAAATAATAAGAAAAAAAAACAAGTAACTAACTGACAGTATCCTAAGAAGTCAGCCTACTAACAGCAGCTATAAAGTAACAATTAAATAAGCCTTACAACAGTAATTTAATCTGAGCTGAAATGAAGGTTCCACTTCATTGCCTTAGGCTAATAGTTTCTACTAGTGTAGAGTGTGTGATGGTGGAGGAAAATTCATGGATTGACGTTGGATACTTAAGAGATGATGATAAGGGGCATTGAGTTCTTAGGCTTCCAAAATGATCAACTTGTGTTTTTGATATTAAAGTTTCATTGAAAATTCAAAATGGGCACCATACCCATGTTTGATATGTGCGACCACTGGCATCACCATAACATTTGAGGGGACTCTTCTCCTTGGCGATTCCATAGTATGTGACTAAAGAGCTTTGTAGTCCTAGGGAAAAATTTAGACATCAATTGTCAATCTGCAATGCACTAAGGCTTGCCTGGTTTAATATAATCAATTATATATTATTTTGATTGTTTAGTGTTATTGTATTTAGTTATGCTTTCCCACTCCAGCACAGATGAAGTATCGAATATCTAATTCTGACTTTCCTTGTATTCATTATCATTTAATAGTACACTAAATGCAACATCCATTTCACCTCCAGCAGCAAGTTGAAACCATGTATGTGATGTACACATGATTGTAAAGTATAAACCATCCTTTCATGTTGGACAGGACAATACCTTATATTCTGATATGACTTCAGATGCTTTGTGGCACTTCTAGAGTATAATTTACAGAATGAACATGTATAGAATGCATAGATGGCACATTTTAACAAATCGTACTATAAAAACCTTTTGAACATACATGTATTCAAATACCATATAAACTAAATATAACATGTTAAATGGAGAATTGTATCCATATCCATGCCCTGGATCTCCAGAAATGGTAATTGGTCCTATATTCATATCCATGCAAGGTTGCATTCTTTCTCAGATAGTTCAATGAATGAATGAAATACTTTACCTTTTCTCTCAAAAGAAAATGTTTGCATCTGTATCTTGGGCATCTTAAAAGACAGGGAAAATTACTTAAACCTCCCTTGTGTTTTCTAACAAATACTTAATATTCCCCTGTACTTTGATCTTTGCAATAACCTCCCTTCATGTTTCAAATCAATATGTAAATGCACCCTCCTTGTTAATTATCCTGTAATGGAGATGTTAAAATCATGACTATTCCCTTGTTATGAATGTTCACCTAATCACCTTGAACACCATTTTCTCTCTTAAGATTGCCTGAGTATGGCATTTCTGCTAATAGTGGAGGTTTAAATTCAACTCCAACTTGGCCTTTCTTGTTTACTCAATGAAGTGAACGATGGAATCTACTTAAATAAAACAAATAATCACTTTTTGGAGGTAATTCATAAATCTTCATCCAAATAAAGTTTTTCCAATGGAAAAAAAAAAAAAACAGGATTCTAAAAATTATAAAGCATTATGTCAATGCTTTATGTGAAGACAATTAATGGAAAGGGTGTGTTTGCATACTTTGTTGAAACATGAAGGGAAGTTTTTGCAGAGGTCAAAATGGAGGGGAAGTTTAAGGTTATTTATTTATTTTTTTTTTTTCAGAAAGCACAGGGGAGTTTTAAGAATTTTCCCTAAAAATATAGAAGACATCAAAATATTTGGCAATTTGGAACTCGCCTCTTGGTAAGACAATGACACTGGTTTCCAAAAGGGGTGCTTCAGCATGGTGTGGCCTAAAGGGGTCCCTGCCAAGTCAAAAGATAAAAAGATGATAAGGGTGCTCAGTGAATTCAACAAGTTGAATAAGCAACAAAAATGTATACGTAGAATCAGCTCACCATAATTCCTTGAGAAGTTAATTGGTCCAAGAATCTCCAAAGCAACCTTTTGGTCTACTAATACTGCATCCTGGCATATTCATCTATAGAATGTTCTCTAACCTAATCAAGAGCCAAGCTGACAAGAAGGTGCCATACCTCCTTTTGGAATGAAGAAGTTATTTTTTGATTAAACCTCTTAGTTTTTCCAGCCTGTGCAATTTTCTCCTCTAATTCTTGCCTAAAAGATATTTGAGGATCTGGGTGTTCTATGCTTCAACCACTGATTCACAAGATCAACCTGAGAAGCAAACATGATCCTCCCTATACTATGAAATCTTTTGCTCCTCACATTAGAAAAGAAAGTCTTGAGTCATTTGTCCATGAACAGCATAAGACCATGCTATATTTCCAAGCTGATACCTATTAAAATTGAGCACATAAGAGTCTAAAGGCCATGCTAAATTTCATATCTGATCCCTGTTTGAACTTTCCAGGCTTCTTTCTTCTTTGGAAGATGACCTTTCTTCTTCTAAGAAACATTTGCATTTGGAACTGTCTGCATTCTCTAAAACTTGGTCAAGGGTTTAGCAAAGGGTCTGCAGGCTCATAAAGAGAAGCAAAGGCCCACAACACTTGAGCAAGTTCTTGCTCATGAAAAGTGTCAATCGTATTTAATTCCCTTTGCGATAATTCTGAAAAGAGATGGGGCAGAGTGCTACATTTAAGCAGAAGCACTTGCTACGTTAGCCATATTCTGTAAATTAACTTCCTCAACCTTGGTCACTGTCACCTATGCAATTATAGCCATTTCTGATAAATAAAATAGCTCACCTGCTAACTCTGACAATAGCCAGGATGCTCCTATCTTTGACAAGCAAATGCCAACCTACGGGTTTTCATCGGTCACATTCTCCATATTTTTGGCAATTCGGTGAAGAGCATTTGCAATGTTCAAAAGGGGTGAGAAGGGATGCATTCAACACCTTCCCATGCAGCCAAGATCGTCTCAGCAGCTACTTCTACTACTTCTTCTGCAATATAAACATCTACAATTGCTTTGTTCTAGGTTATTTCTTTCTTCCAGTCAGAAGGTCCAGCGAACTGGAAGAGCGTCTGCACAAAGGTTTCTTTTGTTTTCTACTTACTTTCATCAAACATACAGCGTGCAAGAATACTGTCTGCCCCTCTGAGATGGCAGGTACCATCTGCAGGGTCGATAACCTCTACCAAATTCTTCATCGCCACCACTATCATCATCTATAACCTCGTTGCTATGCATGCTCTTCTTTTTTCTTACTAATGGTATTCAAATCTTACACGAAATGAAGTCCCGTGCCTCGACAGATTTCAATGCAACTTCCTTGCCCACACACCAATCCATTCCATGTCAGATTCCTGTCGATCCTCCTCAACTCTTTTAACACCAACCGAAATACCCACCCTATATGTCTGCAACTTAGAAACCCATCTCAAGTTTTCTACTAGAAAACCCAGCTCCTAGTTTCATAATTGGAAGCTTCTGAGATGTTTTTGGAACAAAATTCAATGGTTGCAAGCATCTCTGAGACTCTGAGGCACAAATATGTTAAATAACCCCTTAAGTTTTCTGCAAGGAAAGAAGAAATAAACAACTTGGAGAACTCAAAACCACAACTATGAACGAACCAGAAGAAACAGAGACAGTTTAAAAATAAGAGAAAGAAAGGAAAATTCCAAGACTGTCTGCCCCTTCCTATTGAATTTGTAGCCATTGCATGACAAATGAAACGAAACTGAGATCTCCCCCTCTCATTCTCCGCTACACCAAGAACCAAATGTTGAGCCGGTGGTCTGCTCTTCTCTCCGGCAACCGGATTAATGGAGAAAAGAACGGAGCGGAGGCCGGAGTAACAGAGGAGTGACGGAGGGATCAAAATCATTCATCGAATGGCTCGGTTTTCTGTCTTCTGGATTTTTATTTGGAATTCAAAAGCACGTGCTTTACACGTGCATTTCTGACGTGGCGAAAGATTCTTGGTTGAAAACTTATTCGGCAGAGCAAATTCTGTTCACCATTAATAACTGTCAACGACCCTCTCTCTCTCTCTCTCTCTCTTTCCCCCGCTTCCCCTCTCCTCTTCCTCCCCACAACGGCCGATGCCAGGACCGGCCGTGGACGGAAGAGGGAGGAGTACAGGGAGAAAATGACGGAAATTGCAGAGACCAGCGTCTACGGCTTCGGAAATGGTTCGTGGGTTCAACCAGAACCGATGTGTCAAGAATCTTACAGAATCCACTCCAGAGGCTTCTGGTTCGGAGACAATCCTCTCAAATGCAGCCTACCTTTCGTGCTTGTCCAAATCGCCCTGATTACTTCCATCACTAATTCCATCCACTTCTTCCTCAGGCCTCTCAGACAATCCAAGTTCGTCTCCGAAATCATTGTAAGTAATAATCATTCCTATTATATCTCCATTCCATTGCACCCTTTAATGTCTTCTTCATTCCCTAGCTAGCTCTAGCCTAGCTCCCTGTGCATGAAATCTGGGCAACAGTTTGGATTAATAATCTTTCTTCTTTTCTGGGTTTCATTTGATTACAAAAGGGTGGTATAATCTTGGGTCCCTCCGTCCTAGGCCGCAGCAAGAAATTCATGGAGACGGTATTTCCGATGGAAGAGAAGATGCTGATGAATATATTATCGTCACTGGCATCAATCTATTTCTTCTTCCTGGCCGGCGTCAAGATGGACACGAATTCGATCGTAAGGCCCAGTGTGAAGGCATTCAAAATTGGCTTCGCATGCTTCCTGATTCCTTTCGGAATCATGATGTTTGTCAACCTCAAAATCAGGAAACTCTTCTGGGAGCTAGGCCCTGAACACTTTCTTTTCTCTGTGTCAATGCTGATATCCACCACTCCCTTGCCCAATCTGGCTTACACCATGAATGAGTTCAATCTCCTGACCTCTGAGTTGGGCAAGCTTGCCATGTCCAGCGCAGTTGTGGGCGATGTGGTGGTGTATTACATCGTGACACTCTACCATGTTTTTTGTCAGGAAAGCTTTTTTGACTCGCTTCGATTTGCAGCGTCCTTGATTGCAGTGTTCGGTTTCTTGCTTTTAATCTTGCGGCCTGCCGTGTTACGGATTAATCGGAGAACGCCGGAGGGGCGGTCGGTTGATCAGGTATACGTGGTAGCTCTACTGGTGGGGGTGCTCGTCCTGGTATTCCTCTGCGACATGGTGGGCATAATGCCCACCCACGGAGCTCTTCTGTTGGGGCTGATTGTACCGGAAGGGTCGTCCCTCGGCGTCGCCATTGTTGAAAAGTTCGAGACCATGGTCGAATTGTTCCTTCTTCCTTTTCTGGTCATACACTGTGGGATCTCCACCGACGTGTTCAAGATTCAAAGCATGAGTTCCTTTGCAGAATTCCTGTTCTTCCTCTTCACGGGATTTGTGGGGAAGATGATGGCAACGATCTCAATCTCAGTCTTCTGCAACTTCAGCCTTCAAAATGCATGGTTCCTTGGGCTTATCATGAACATCAGAGGCATCATAGATATAGCCACCTTCATACGTTGGAAAGAAAACACGGTGATGATCATCACATCATGCACATACTCAACTGATCAGTTCCATTAATGCATATATATATATATATATATATATATATATCCATGCTTGAAATCTTGATTTCTGGGGCTTGATTAATTTAATTCTCTGTTGGGTTGATTATTTGCAGATGGTGAACGAGCAAGCCTTTACTGTGCTGGTTCTCACGGCGGTCCTGTCGACGGCAGTTGTGACGCCATTGCTGACAATCTTCTACAAACCTCCGAGATATTTCGCAGAAAGAATCAGGGGATCGATCCAAGACGCTCGACCCTATTCCGAATTCCAAATTCTTTCCTGCGTCCACAACGATCAAGACGTCCACCCCATGATCACCCTCCTCGAAGCTTCCCATCCCAACAAGGACAGCCCCTTGTCCGTCTACGTGCTCAACCTGATCGAGCTGATCGGCCGATCTCTGGCTGTGGTATCCGGCCCCTCTGAACAGGAAACGGCGACGTGCCACCAGCCAACCGGCAGCAAACAGCATATCGAAGGCGCCTTCAGGAACTACGCAGACAACTCCGATGGGCTAGTCAATGTCCAGTCTTTCACTGTGATTGCCCCATACAAAAACATGCACGAGGATATATGCAGTCTAGCTCATCAGAAGTCTGCAACTCTCATCATCATGCCTTTCCACAACAACGACGCCATCATGGGTGGAAAAGTCGGTGCCTTATCCAGCCTTAACCATAATCTAATAGCTGTTGCGCCTTGCTCTGTGGGGATTCTTGTATACCGCAATCATGGCGTCCACCATTCGTCTCTGCATTCCGATATTTATCTGAATGTAGCTCTGATCTTCATAGGAGGAGCAGATGATCGTGAGGCACTGGCGTATGTCAACCGCATGTCTGAGAGCCCCAAGCTGAGAATTACTGTGATTAGGTTCCAATTGTCGCATAACATCAATGGGGATCAGGATGAGAAGCAGCTGGATGACTCGATTGTACGGGAGTTCAGACTCAAGAACATGAACAATGAGCGTGTCACGTACCAGGAGGTGGAGGTGGAGGTGGAGGATATAGAGAAGTTGCTCACTGCAATGTCTGCTCTACAGAACGACATTGGTTATGATCTTTTGATTGTGGGACGAGGAGATTGGACAAATGGAGATGGGATGGATGGGAGAGAGCATCCGGAGCTGGGTCTGCTGGTTAGCCATATGCTTCGGGAGGACTTCGATAGGGGCTGGTCCTATATTTTGGTAGTGCAAAGATGTGGACTACATCTAGATGGGAATCGTAGGCCTAATTTGCCCTCTTCAATAGCCAATTTAAAGCCTAATTTGCCCTCTTCAATAGCCAAATTAAAGCCTAATTTTCCCTCTTCAATAGCCAAATTAAAGCCTAATTTTCCCTCTTCAATAGCCAAATTAAAGCCTTGGAATATTGGTTTTTGAGTTGGTGATGAATTGGGGCGTTGGGCTTAGGGATGCCACTTAAATTTCTACCCTATCCGTTGAAGGATGGATCTTGTGGGGAGGATGGTTTTGGGATTCTACAACTGTATCGGTATGGGTAGGGTATAGTATTAGGCTAAATCCAATCCTCTCTAATTCACATATTGTTGGAATTGGTAATTTATATGTGATGGATAATTGGTAATTTATATGTTTTTCTTATATCTTAATCAATTATAATTGGAATTTTTGTTGTTTGTTCCTATTATTTTACTTATTTATCGGTTGTATATAATAAGAAATAATAGAAATTTTGATGTGGATTCGAAACCCAACCGACCCTACCCTTGAATAATGGGAGGGCTAAGGAAGAGTTTTACATTTTCATATGTGGAGAAAGGGTTTGGATTCTCAAAATCCAACCTGTTATTGGTTTTGGGGCAGGTACCGATTGGGAGGTTTAAGGAGACGGGTACAATTTAGAATTTACAAAATCCTCCTTAACCCTGCCCTGTTGCCATCCCTAATTGGGCTGCCTTTTCCTAGCTTAAATTCCTCTCCATTTTCTTTTCTTTTGGTTTCATATCCTCCCCATTTTGAATAGGGGTGCAAATGGATTAGTTTTAATCTCATTCATTTAATATGTTTAGACAGAATTGAATCGAATGGGTTCTGAAAATATGATCAGTTTATACGTGCCCTAGAGGGAGGGGCATAAGAGGTAGAGGCAGGTCATCGGCCCATGGGTAGAAGAAAGTGTCAAGACCCTGCTACGTACTCTCCCCATCAGGGGTGTTCTTGCCCTTATGCCTTGGTGGACTAGTGGTGTCTTGTATTGTATGGTTTGGCTCGGTGGGTTGTGGGCTTTCTATAATTCTTTCATTTATATTGTTTGTTGTTGGGTTTAGCCTGGACCATTCACTCGTGGGTGAGTTGGTAGGCTTTCTTTATCTTACTTGGCCTTGTCTATTGTTCTCTTAAGGCCTAGAGAGTAGCTTAGCTTTAGGGCTAGTATCTAAGCCTATTTTTGGGGTTTTAGGAAGTGTTGTTTCTGGAGCTTCTTGTTTTGCTCTTGGCCATATACACCTTGTATATTGTGCTAGCGGAGACCTGGCGATGCATAAGATTTGTCAAGGGGAAGTGAAACAATTGAAATTGATAACTATTATAAGAAAGGAATGTGATGTTGTTTTAAATAATTAATCTTTATTTTACTAGTTTGTTACAAAAACAATTTAGTAATTTAGTAATTTGGATTAATAATATTAATATTTTTTAATAAAAATAATAAATTATTATTAATTACTTAATAAATAATAAAATTTTCCATATTATTTGTTAGTGTTTTTTATTTATTTTACTTTATTAATGATTAAATGTTATATTTTTATAAATATTACTTAAATATTTAAAATACTTAAATTTAGTAAATATATAAAATTAGGTTGTAGTCATAATTAAGATTAACTTTTTTAGTCATAATTAAATTAATCTAAGCCAGAGCTTGAGGTTTAAGACTTTGGGTTGGGCTTTGGTTGATCCTTAACTTGACCTAACTCCCCAAGTTTTGCACACTTAAGAGCAATGTAACATTCATAATTAGACCGAACCAAACCAAATACCAGCCATGCATACTTTATTTCTGGGCTTTTAACTATTTTTAGATAAAATTATTAATATTGAAACCGAAGTAGCTGTGGGGGATGGGCTACCCCCATTGTGTAGCCTAATGAACCAAAAAATAAAAAATAAAAGATCTTTTGCCTAATTGTGATAGTGTATTAACAATTTTTAAGGTTATTACATAGCCTAATTTGGCCCACACCCCAAGCAAAATAATATTTATTTAGGCCTAGGATAGGGATAGGATTGCATGTATTAATTATAAAACTATGATTTTTTCATAAATTAATTTTTTATTTATTTTTAGTCTATTATAGAAATATATAAAAACTTTTACCTATATATTAATATAAAATTTGTTATCTAAATATATATGTATATAACTTCCAAGTCGAGCTTAGGAGTTGTTTAGCTTGGGCCCTACTTGCTAGGGTTGTTAATGAACTTTGAAAGTCTAATACCCGATTTGACTCCAAATCTGAATATCCTGGATTTAGATGTTACAATTTACATCCGATTAATATTCCAATAGATGTGGATTTAACCCCATCTGATTCGACTAAAATCCGAGTCAAATAAAAAATTATTATTTTATGTATATATGTAGTATAACTATCTATACATATAAATATTTTGCATAAGTATATAACTTTATAATTGATAAGTTTAATATTTTTATTTATATACATTTATTATACTACATATACACTTCAAAATATAATTAGTTTTTTTTTAACTTCTTTAACTTTGTGGTCATTTTAAACACAATAAGATGGTTTTAGATTAAATCTGCATTCAATAATTAGTGTCATAATTTAATGCAGAAATGGATGCAAATAGGGCCGATATCAATCCGATTTGTTTACAGCCCTACTGCCCGCATTATGTGTGGGCTTAGTGTAAATTTAAGGCAGATCTAGCTCAAAAGAAAATAGTTGCTTGAGGCTAGAAATTTGTAAGTCTAGGTAGGTTGGGCTAAAAATGATCATCCCTAAGTAGAAGGAGTCTTATGACATTTCTAATTGGGTTATGAGTAGTTTTATTATTTTAAATAATTTTTATAATTTTTATATGTAATGCAAATAGTGTATTTTATTACTTTTAATGAAAACTTGCTAATTTGTATAACTTTTATAATTTTAATGTTCCAACATTAGTTTTATTATTTTAATTATTTTTTATAACTTTTTATGGAACACAAATGGTTTATTTTTTTTTACTTTTATTATTAATTTTAGTTATCCTATTAGTATTGATTATTTTAAAATAGAATTCAAATGTATTTTAATTTTTAATTTTAATTTATGAAGTAATAATTTTATTAATTACTCAATTTTTAATTTTTTATTAATTTTAGATATTAGGTTTCAAATAATATTTTTTTGACAATTAACCAATTAAATAGATTTTGAATATGAAACAAATAAATGGAATTTGGATGAGAGTGAAATTCTCTCTCTTTCGAATGCAATAGGCTAATAATGGAAGGGGCCTATAGAAATATGATAAAATATGTTAATGATGGAAGGGGTGGAAATTATTTCTTTGAATTCTCTCACACACACACACTCTCTCATTATTTTTAGGTGATTTGACTATTTATGATATTTATATTAACTAATTTTTAAACTATTATTTGTTTATAGGTTGGGTTGGGCTCGCGTTGGCCTTGAAATGAGAAAGAGAATAGAGAGAGAGTTAATGGTGAGTTAATGAGGAGACATAAAAGTGGTAAAGACTTAAAATTGATTGGCTACTTGAGTAATTTTTTTCAATTACAAAAATAAAGATTTAAGAAACCACAAAATAGATAAATGGTAAGGGAGAAATGAGAGCCATGCTGACATGGCACAACCGGAGTACTTGAATTCCTGAAAACTTCAAAGCTCAAGAGCGATGACCAAGAAACTGAAAGAGTTTACTTGACAATTCGTTTTACCAATCAAAGTCTTTTAATGGGTTTGCTTGTGAAAGATTAAAATAGGGAAATTCAAACCACTTAGTTGTTCCTTCCTCTATTATTTTTTTGTTCATGTTGTTAATACCATTACTAATTATGCTCCCCCTTATGTGTCCTCCCTGTTTTTGCAGCTTCATCTTCTATTCAAGGTCTTGCAATTGCTAAGGTTCAAACATCTACTATGCCCATTCACTCGATTGAAGAAGAAGAGATTTTTGGAATGGTGTTGGATAACTTAAAAATTCTAGTGCTAGAGGATGGAAAAGGAATCACAGAAAATGAGAATATAGAAAAAAACTTATAGGAACCAGGAGGTGGAGGTATTGGAAATTCAGATAGAAACAACAATGAAGGGGCAAAGGATAAGAATTTGTCCTCATAAAAGAGGCTAATTTAAGCAAGAAGAAAAGGAAGGCTATTGCTAAAAGCTAGAGAGGGGTGAAGGTGTATTCAAAGAAGGATAAAGGTCTGGAGATGATAAGGAAAATGAAAAAGAGTAAGGCTTAGTTTGGAAGCAGTACAAATGCAAATATGTACAGTGTAAATACATACAAAATAATACAAAATATAAGATTTTGCACTCTATATATTTACATTTGTACTCCTTCCAAACTCGGCCTAAAGTGGAGAGCTTGATGAGCAAGATAGTTTATGATAGGGATGAAAACAGGAGAAAAGAAAGAGGTGAGGGACATTAGCCTAAGGACTAGGGGTTTCGGTTACATCTATTTTAACAATGAAGTTAATCAGTTGGAATGTGAGGGGATTAAGGTGCCATGAAAAGGAGATTAATAAGGGATACTCTTAGGAAGGAGAAGCTAGATTTGGTTTTGATTCAAGAAACAAAGCTCTTAGAGGTCTACATGAGATGGATTAGAAGCATTTTGGGAATTAGGTACTTTAGTAGGTCATTTGCACCTTTGTGGGGTGCATTTGGAGGAATCCTTACCATCTAAAAAAATTGAGGAGTTGGAATGTTTGGAAGAATTAGTGGGACAATTTTTTGTTTCAATAAAATTAAGGAGATCAAATGATGATAGGGAATGGACTTTGACAAATGTTTATTGGCTAAATTCCTTTTAGGACACGGATTTTTTCTAGGAGGAATTAGGGGGCAGATAAGAGATTTTAACGTCATAAGGTTCACTTCAGAGACCAATAAACCTAATCAGAGGATAACAAGAAGCATGAGGAAATTCACTAAAGGAGCTCCTATTGCTACAAGGCGAGTATACCTGGTCAAATTTTTAGGCGCCCTCCACTTGCTCTAAACCGGTCAAATTGGGAAGAGATGTGTGAAAGTTTATCCTCACGAGCCTTGCCTAGTGTAACTTCTGATTTGTTCTATTAGCTTAATTCAGGAGTTGTCCTATAATGGTCCTTTGCCTTTTAGATTTGGAAAGATGTGATTGGAGGACCCCACTTTTGTAGAAAAGGTTAAGAGTTTGTGGGTAGAAGCCAGTGGTAGTGGCACAAAGAAGGAGATTTGGGAGGTTTGTTAAGAAAAGAGGAAATTTCCTTGAGATAAAAGTTGAGATGTAGATGCCTTGTGGAAAGTGATGGAAATACAAAAATTTTCCATTCTCTAGGTAGTGATAGGAGGAGAAAGAATCAAATAAATTAGGAGAAAACAAGGGAGGAGGAAATAGATAAATTTTTTTGGGCCACTTTAAGGGCTTATTTTCCACCTCAGGGGTGAGGAGATAAAATTTCCCGGAATTGACCAAGTATAGAGTGCTAGAAGACATTGTTGCAAATATAGAAAAAATGTTTACACTTGAGGAGAAGAAAGAGATAGTGTTTTTGATGGAAAGATTTAAAGCTCGAGGCTAGATGGATTTTCCATGTTTTTTTATTAGGAGTAATGGGAAATATTAAAAGATGGTCTATTGGAAGCTTTCAGTGAGTTTCTTTTATGAAGAGGAAATTTCTCGAGGAGCAAACTCAACTTAAGTCAGCACTGGTCACTCTCTCACTTAAATCAAATGTGGTGGTGTTTATATTGACTAGTAGAATAGTCCGTGTGATGTATGGGATATTTGAACCAATGAATGATACCGCAATCAGATATAGATCTTAACAAAGTTGGGTGTAGCCACTTGTTTGATTCTTCACTGCTTGTGTTAGTGCCAATCTGTTTGATTGTACTAAAATGAAATCATACTTCAATTACTTCATCCTACTTGAGTGTGAGTGGTAATGTTAAGAAAACAAAAATGACTTAAAACATGATCAAGGATTCCATTTGACATATAATGTAATGTGTGTGTATATAAGTACGCAAAAAGCTCCATATTGCAATATTAGCACAATGTCTCAGAAGGTTGTGGAACCAACCATAATACTTCATGCCATTCATAAATTAAAATCCAAGGACTGATCCTAGTTGAAACGGTGTGGCATAGATTCAGTTCAATTAAAGAGCCTAACAGTAAGGGGGTTTGCTCTCAACTTTCCAATGTAGGATATTGAAACCAAACCTAGAGGATGCCAAAAGCAAACCAGCACGAGGGTTTTGCTCTTAGCTTGCAAGTGCAGGATATTGAAAGCAAACAACTTGGATCTTCATGTAGAACAAACATTAAGTTTGGGTATTTTTATGGTGTCTTTCCCTGATGGTTAAGAGAATTAGGTGTGTGAGAACTTACAAATTACAAAACACCAGAAAAATGCTTATTAAAAATTACAAATACAAACTTGATTTGGGCAAATGTAAGTCTGCTAAAGACATAGGATTAAACACTGAATTAAACCCAAAGATGAAAAGTTCTTGCAACTTATATATCAAAAGTTATTAAACCAAAACCATAATTGCTTAAAATTAATTAAATATAAATAATTATCAAAGAAACTTAATTTTAAATTAAAGCATGATGTGAAACCAAAACTCCTATTGCATTTTCACAACTTAAAAGAATGAAAGAGATAATAGAACTTTGCAATTGTGATAAAGATGATATTGAGTACGGTTTTGGAATATATAACTGTTGAAACTTCTTGAGATGAAAGGCAAAAGAGTGAATATGATTGAAAATGAAGAGCAAAAATACCTAGAGCTCCATTAGTTCCAAGCGTCTAAAAACCTACATTATTTTTGTTCACATATTTTTCCAATCAATCACCTAAAGGTGTAAATCGGGCTACGGTGGACCGGCAAGGCATGACCCGCATGCGGCCAGTGCAAAGTGCATGCCATTCTGTGTCGGCCTGCGATCCGTGCTTCCCTCCCCTAGGATATTTTGGGGGATTGGCCCGTACCGTGTTGTGCCTTGGTCCGAGCCTTGGGCCAGGCCGGGCCAAGTCATGTTTTTTTTAATTTTTAAAAAATAATGAAAATTTTAACATAAATTAAAATTATATACAATAAATTAAAAAAAAGATCTTAAAATTTTATTTTATATGAATTTTAATGTATACAATTGTTTATATATACAACAATAAAATGAAATACTATAATAAAATTGAAAATAAAATTATATATATTAATATATTATATAATTATTATATTATTATATACATATTATATATTATATATAAATATATATATGAATCATGCTAGGCCGTGCCAGTACATGGGCTGTAGGTGGCATGGCCCGCTCGATTCTGCCATGCCGGGCCGGGCCAGCTCAATATCATTCTGGGCCGCAAGCAACACAGCACGATTTACACCTCTATAATCACTCTTTATTATTGGTTTTTAAAAAAATAAATTAATAAACATAGTTACAGGAGTAAAGCATATAAATAGTATAATAAATAGTGAGAATAATTTTGAAATAAAAATCAGAGTTTCCAAGATGTTCTGAATCTTCTTTATTTATAAATTTAAAATTCAGTGGAAAATTAAAAAGAAAAACTTTGGTTGTTAATATCTTGTTCTTGTAAATGCCGGCATTTGTGTTCCCAATGGATGATGCCCAAAAGACTGGATATCTTTTTATTCATTAAATCATCTCATCATCTATTGCTTTGTTATGAGCAAATTAAATTATTCATTAATTATAATCAGAAAAGTCCTATAGAAGTTAGTCGATTCAACTCACTGTTTAGCCGAATTAAAAATGGAGTGCAATCCAACTAACGTCTTTTTTTTTAATTAAATTAAATATGAATCCATGAAAAATTTTTACATATACATCTATAAGTGTATTTATATATCAAAAATGGAAAAATAAGAGCATTTCTAAGGGTGAAACAGTACAGTGAACAATTGAGATGCCAATAAATATGACAAGAAAAATTAAAATTTAGGGTGCAATTACTAGTACATGTTAATAGCACCATAAATCTAGATATCAACCAATTACATTAAAGTCTACATACTTTTCATTAATTCATATTTCATAAATTATAGTATCACATTTAATTGCATGTGTTTTGCCATGACATTTAACCAATCTGTCTTTTGTTGTAGGTGCACCATGGATAGATGTCAAATCCACAGGCAGGATGTGGTTTACAGGGGGGCTACCAATAGACTAGGAGGGGTCTATAAATTCAAATTTCTGAAGAGCAATACAGTCTATTTATACCTTTTATAAGCTACTCTCTCTCTCTTTCTACCTTAATTTCAGAAATAATGTACCCAATAAATAATTAAAAACCTATTTCTGCAGCCATTTCGACATGAGATTCTCACCACTATTATTAGATATAAATTTTAATTTATTTTAAGTAAATTTTTTTCTAAGATACTTTCACTAAAAATATACCTTCTCAACTTTTTTTTTCTATACAATAATTTAATTTCTCCAAGTAGGGGCCCCTCCGCTAATAGACTTTTGTTATGGGGGAGTTTGGCTTCGATCAGTACAAGCCTGTGCTCACACTATTTGAACAGCCTCTTGCAACCTTGCATTGGAAATATCTCCCAATGAATAAAATACACATACAGAGATATTTCGAATGCAAGGCTGTTTGAACGGTAGTACCGGATTCATAATGGGTAGGGTTTATTCCCCTATTTTCTCTCCCTCACCCACTCCATCATCATAACCGAATATAGGGTTGGTTATAAATTTGAATTCCCATTCAAAAATCAAAACCCTTGTAACCATAGACCTCCTTCTAATTAAGTGGGAGATTTCTAGTCTCAACCGCCTACCATATTAGCTCCATGTAAGGCGGTTGGGATTAGGACTTCTCACTGTGGATCTTGGCGACTATGATGTGAGTCCAGGGTGCTTTGATACCATGAGCATGATCAAGAGACAGTTGATGAGTAAATTGCTGTATATATTTTCATTAATTAGGCATGACCTCCTACTAAGTACGGGTTAGTATTCTGATATATTTTATTACTCATGTATGCTTATTATTTTTGTTTAACGCCCCTTTTTTATTATTTAATTTAAGAGCTTAAATTATGTTTTATTTTTATAGAGGTGAAAGACGATTATTTAGTTGTTTTTTATTTAACTACCCTCGTTTTTGAAAGAATTAATGGTTTGAAAGTGGAGTACTTAACCACTCTCAACCTTTTAGAGTGATTTGAATTTTATTTAAAGTTGGGAGAAAATCACTTCTGAAATGCTATTTCTTGAAATAATAAGCTAGAAGCTGTGTCTGAACAGGGGTGCATGCTCTAGTCTGACCACATTACTTAATGGTTATATTGGTATGAGCAAGCATGAGATACAACCTAGTTGAAGTTTGGATATCTGTTGGCATGTAAACCTTACGTTGGCTAGTACTTCAAGAGCGGATAGAAGGTGAGTTCCCAAATTTACAATTGAAATGCTCCCCATCTACCATAATACATCGTTGTACCACCAAAATAGAATCCACACCAGCAGCTATGTCTAATGACTCAAGCATATGACCAATCACCCCAAGCTCAGAATTCTCCAACCAATCTTCCATGGTCATGTCATTCATCAAATTGGTGCTATGTTGTCGCCCCACCATCACAAGATTGCAATTCTCATAGTCCAGAGCTCGAATTCCATAAAACACTTGCTCCATGTCTTCCACCACTTTCTCATAGTACATGACACGTTGATTTTTAACATTGTTGTGCTTGAATTCATGCACAATCAAGTCATCTAATTGCCTCTCGTTATCAATGTTCTTGTCTCTGTTCTTCTCCCGTAACAAAAACCTTACCACAGTGACACTCACACCAGGGTGTGTTGCCATTCGGCTACAATAGGCCAGCGCCTCACGGTCATCTGCTCCGCCTAAAAATATCACAAGTACGTTATAAGAGAAATGGTCATACACTGTGAAGCGACGGTTGTTATTGTTTCGATGGACAAGGATCCCCACTGAGCAGGGTGCATTGATGAGTACATTCCAATTAAGTTTATGCAATGAGGCATTAGTCACCCGTTCACCAGTGATGGAGTGTTTCTTCTGGGAAGGAATGATAATGAGAGCTGCCATTTTCTCAAGTGCAAGCATGCAGATGTCCTCGTGCATGGTCTTGTAGGGTGCAATCACGGTGCATGGTTGGAAGAAGAAACACCCATCTGAGTTGTTTAAATAGTTTCAAATTTGGTCCGGTTTCAGTGTAAGAACGATTTTAGAAAATGCAGTTTTCTAAAACTGGGAATACGATTCTTAGAAGATTGCAACAAATTTTTGAAATTTCTCCCAACCATTGAGTATAGTTCGGCCATTCATATAATGGATTTTCCCTTCCTTCAATCCAACTCAATTCAATATAAATTCATTACACATAGACCAGGTCCAAATCCAATCCAATAAATACTTTGGACCATTAAGTCTAGAGTGATCCAATTCAATGTCTTGTTGGTCCATCCAATCTGGGCAAATTAATTTTGGTCTAGACGGGTCCAATCCAAGGTGGTAACGTGAGAATCCTAGTGATCCAAGAGCTTTTCCAACCCAAGATCTCCAACAATTGCTTCAAAGTTTTCATCAAGCAGAATGTCAGCTGCCTTTACATCACGGTGAATAATTTTTGGGTCACACTGTTCATGCAAATACAATAGGCAATAGCCCTCTTGCAGTCCCTAATGCTATCCTCTTTCACCTTGACCAGTCCAAAGCTGGCTTTCTAAGGATGTGATCTCTTAATCGAAAAGCAATACTTCCATTTGGCATATAGGCTTAGTTTGGGAGGAGTATAAATGCAAATATGTAGAGTGCAAAACCTTATTTTTTTTATTATTTTGTATGTATTTACACTGTATATATTTGCATTTGTACTCTTTCCAAACTGAGCCATAAGGATAGTGGTTGATCTGGTTTGGTCCCTGCAAGGATAGAGGAATGGCAAAAAAGCTATTGACAAGCAGGAACCAAATGCTTGGCATGAACTTCAAGAGCAGAATGATTTTGAATGCAAAGAAGGTTTTGATTCTCTCTGATTTCATGCATCTCACCATCTACAACTTACCATCTTGTTTTATCATCGCCTTCTTCATCGTCACTCTTTGAAATGCCAAAAAGCTGGAAAAGATCACTGCTTCAGTCTCAAGTAAGAAGATGGTGAACAGTGTCTTCTTCTTATGAAAAGTAGTTTTGACATTTAAAAATAATTAGTCACACATGTCATCATGTGATACAGATAACTGATGGACTATTAAGAATGGACCAAATTGGCAGTTTTCAGGTTTGGGTACTAAAGTTAGACTAATCTCAAAGTACAGCGTACTAATATGCAATTTACCCATACAAATATTAAGAGAAAAAAAAAAAACACAAATAGTGTAACAAATTAATGGAAGTGTGTTATACCCGAATAGTTTTTAACGGTTCTCAACAATTTTGGACAGGTCTGCTGGTTTTTCAAAAAATTGAAAAACAAGGTTCTAAAAACCAAAATGGTTGCTGGTTCCCAGCTTTCACGATTTTGACCGTCCAATCGAGTCAAAGTCTTCCAACAATGATTCAAACTAGTCCTCACTTGTTCAAAAGAAACTCCCTGAAAAGTAAATATAATTCAAGAATGCAAGTCTCCTTTTCCTAGCGGGATCTTCACATACATTTTGACAGAACAAAGGAGGCCACCCCCCCAGCTGACTGACTTGCAATGAGTGCCCGCATCTCTGATCATAACCCTAGTTTAATGGTTCTGGAGTTGGACACTTGGACCTAACTCGACTGTGCTTGGTGATTTGGTTTACCATGACAACAGATGTATATAGTTGATTCTTTTTATCCTTGTTTCTCTTTTTCTTGCACTCTGTTTAGACTTTAATAGAACTTTTTCTCTTCCCCTTTATTATTAGGCTATGTTTGGTTTGAAGAAAAAGGTAGAGAAAGGAAGGGAAAGACAAGAAAACCAATACAAGGGTTGTAAAAGTATCCCTACTTTTCCCTTCCTTTCCTTACATTTTCCTTCAAACCAAACATAGCGGAAAATACTATTAATTAGTCATTTTATACTTTCAAAAAATCAAAATACTTAAGTCTAGTCATCATCAGCGTTCCATCAATTACCTAGAGTGGTTGATCTCGTGCAATTTGAAATATTTGAAATTTTCCAAAATACCCTTTGTATATTTATGAGACCATTTAACCCTTTATTTTCCATTTTCTTTATGCATTAACCATATCCATTTCTATCATTCTGCAATCTTACTCTCTCAGCTACGCAAACCATGAATGGGCATTTTGCTGAATTTACCACTCACAGTAACATCAGTTAATGTACTTGGACTTGAGTGTAGATTTCTGAAAGTATGGGCACCTCGTTGCCAAGTAAAAAAGTTGAGGCCCACAAGTGTCACTACCCCCCTCCCCTGAAGCACAATGCACCTATAATTTTTCCTTACTATTATTAGAAAAAATATAGATGCTTATTATACCTTCAAGAACAAGTAGATAACAAGCTACTCAAGAAGAATAATCTAGAAGTGTTCCTCAAAATTTATCTAGATCTTCAAAATTCAATGTGTCCAGTTAGGGGGGGTGTTCGACAATATGAATGCTTTTGTTTTCACTTGTTCAGAATTGCCATATCAACAAAGAAACAGAAACATGTTCACTGATTTTGTAAGTGAAAACAAGATGGTTTTGTTTCCAAAAACACAATAACCATCAAAATTATGTTTTCTAAAATAAAAAGAAATTGAACGTGTTTGTTTGTTTGTTTTTGTTTTGAAGAATCTATTTTCAAACCAGATGGTTTATATTTGTTCTTAGAACTGGCAACAAGAAAAACAATTCACGTTGGAAAACACCCCCTCAATGTTTTCCTCAGGAAAGATCCATAAATTCCATCCAATACGTTTTGATATGGACATTCAATATCTGATCATGTCAAACTTAGACATTTGATAAGAAATTGCAGTAGTTTATGGAGGAGCCTTCAGCATATTCAGGTAGAACACATTTATTTTATGTCCAAACACATATCATTCTATAAGAAAACTGGTACAGTTTTTTAATGTCTGAAGTGGGTGATCAGTGCTTCCAGGCAAAGCTCAGTTGCTAAGGTTGACAATAATAGACATATAAAACTTTCTCCTTACATGGAATACAAAGACAATAGTGCACTACGGAGTTGAAGCTGCAAACAAATACCCTGCACTTTCTAATACTAGAAGTCTAGAACTGTTAAACCACAAAACAACAGCTACTAATATGAGATGCTGGCAAGAGCCTTCTCTATTCCTGCATGGTTTAAGGAAAAGGAAAGGTTAGTTTGGGTGCAAGTAGGAAAAACCCATCTAACTGAAATACTTGCATTGCTCTAACGCTCATGTCATGTCTATTAGTCTGTTTTGATGAAGAAAATCGCATTGAGCATCGCAATAAAGTGGATAAAGACAAGAATAAATAAATCATTGTAGGTATTTACTTCAGATGATACCAAGGATAGAATAAGATGGAGACACGGATAAATCCACAGAACAGATTTGGTAATAACACACAAATTACAAATATATAATGACAAATAGCTGGATAAGGGTTTGGTTATATTTTTATTATCATTGTCATTTACATTGTTGTTATCAGTAAATTAACCTTAATTCCATTCAGCTACCAAACACACCAGAATATTAAAGGCAGCAAACTACAAATTGCACCTCTTCTAGAAGCTCTTTTAAGGCTTTCAACCATGGACGAGAGATCAAGAACTAGAACCACCGTTCAAACCACATCTTATGAAGTCTTATAATGTTCAATGTCAATATTTATCAGATTCCTGCTTATATCCACATTCAACAATACTTGTATACATTTGACATTTTCAAGAAAGGTGTTATAGTTTTATACAGTGTTATCAAAGTACCAACTAGGCAAACCAACTAGTCAGCTGAGGACCAGACTGACTGCATAACCAACTAGCCAGTTGATACACTCATGATGTGGCCGCTTCAGATGAGTAAGCATCAACTATGTTGACCAGCAGATTATCAACTACTAAGCCTAGTCAACCACAAATGTATATTTTAAAGTTTTGTTTGTATTTGTATGCATCTCTTATTATTTGACACAGAATATATTTATTTTTATGAATCACAGAATGTATTTTTTTGGTTATATATTATATTCATTCTATTGCTTTAAATATTTGTGAAACAACATGATTGACTGATGGTATATAAAATAGAAAAAATGCATAAAATAAATGCAGTCGAGGAGTTCCCTTAAGGCTTCTGGTTTGCTGACACAGATTTGCCACAAATAAAGGACAAATTGAATGGCTAAGGTTTAATTCTTCTTTTTAGAAAACAAAGGTTGTAATTCCTCTATTTTAGCCTATCCAGCCCGACATTTTATGTTTGCAAAACAAGGATTGTAAAGTAAATGTTTAATATCATTTTTTTATTGCTTATTTGCAGTCTTTATTAAGTGGGCCTTGGCGCAATGGTTGGGTTGCTCCATTGCGACCTGGGTGACCAGGGTTCAAATCTTGGAAACAGCCTCTCTGCATGTGCAGGGGTAAGGCTGCGTACATCTATCCTTCCCAGACCCTACATTGGAAGGAGCCTCATGCACTGGGCTGCCCTTTTTCTTTATTTGCAGTCTGTATTAACTTTTTCATGAGATTGCATTAATATATTAAATTTAAAACATATATTTTTTTGATTGAATAGTCAACACCAAAGCACTGACTAGTAATTGAATTGACTAAAGAGGCCAAAATGACTAAGCATCACCTGAACGCATTGATGATATTGATTTTATAAGTAATTTAACATGTGTTTTTAGTATGACCTTGAAATAACTTCTTACCATGTCTGCTTAGTGGAAAAAGTTAAGACAAAGGAAAAAGCATGCTCTATGCCTCTATCAGTTAACTCCTAACATGAGTTCTATTTGCCATAGAAGTACACTATGAGACTTCTATGGAGGATACACTAGGATACACAATTGATAATTCACCAGAACATAAAACTAAATCATTATTACAATGGACACACAGACATACAGGCATTAATTGACGCCAAAAACAATATAGGCATTAGACTTCAGTTGTTCAAAAAATCTTGAGTTGCAATGAACAATTGATTGACTATATTATACTAAATACTACCTCTTATGTTAACTCAAATAAACCATAATAAAAGACTTTGCTCCATAGTATGGTATGAATGAGACTTCATGCACTGTGGATTCTGATGACGGGACTTCCATGGATGAGGATTACCCCAAGGCGTAGTGCTCAAAAGGAATGAAGTGATTGAAAAGGAGGGTGAGGGAGGTGGGAAAAGGTGGTTGAGGATGATACAGTTCTAGCCCTCATGCTCGGAGGTTTCCATGGTGGTCAAATCCAACTCCATATCAGAATAAAGAGCGCATTGAGTTACACAGAAGAAAAAGAGTTGTATTGGTGGAGGAGAGTGCTAAGATTATTGGTTAGAGGATGGCTCTAGATAGAAGATTAGAAGTTCTCTTACTAGGAGTATGGATGGCTGACAAATATCTCAGATGTTTGAGGATAGAGACCATGAAGCATGCCTTCATCTCTCTGGATACATAGCACAATCTTTGGACGAAGAGTATCTGTGGCTTTTAAATGGGAGAAATTGGATGATTCAATTGAAAAGGGCAAGAAGAAAAGGGGGAAAGGAAGAGGAAAAGGAGATGCTTTGAGAGGGAAAGGGAAAGATTGATGCAGGTAGTAGTACCACATCAAGTCCATAGAAATAAGTTCCATGCTGTGAGAGGAGGTTTAGGTATCCTTGGCAGACATGAGGTAGATGGAATAATGGGGTTTGTGGCGCATCTCACTTGGAGCATTGGTTTCTTTTCTTGGAAAGGGTTTAATGTTGGGGTTTCCTTTGCATATAGTTTTGACTTGGTTTGGGATCATTGGATTCTAGACTATTTCATTTTTTTTTCCAAGCTCATTCCTCAAGTCTGTACATATTGTATACTCTTTTCATTATAATTTAATACAACACTATTATCCAATAAAATGATGGTTAAGGTGGGAATTATGGGAAATGAATTACAATTTACAACTACTCTTTAACCATTTCCAAAAGAACTTAGAAGTTTAAATGGTGGCTTATGCAAGTTTACACCCAGAACCTGCAAAGAATTAGCAATTTGAGCAAGTACCATCACAAAAATTTTCTTGAGAGAATATGAGGGTAATTATAGGACTAGTAAAAAGAGACAGCACAACACAAATATCATTAGCTAATTCAAAGAAAGGGAAAAATCAAAACAAATGGTGAAATCTACTGGAGATCATTGGACAGCTTAAACAATATAATCAACAAAAATTTATAAAACTTTTCTAATCCCATTGTTTACAGGTGTACACAGCATACATGAACACACTATTAGCTATCTCATCACCATCTAAAACGAGAATCACATAAAGAAATATGCAATTATACACACACTTAAGAAGCATACAATTTTTTATGGTTTATTATTTCAACTACAATCAGTCAATCACATCTGCATACGGAAGTATGAGAGAAAAAGAAAGGTGGTATAAATAGCCTGCTGACTAAGCAACAGAGTTGGCATACCTCATCATCATCATCATCATCATCACCATCTTCTTTGTTTTTCTTGAGCTGGGTTGTACCACCCTCCTTGCTGATTGGTAACTTCATTGCCCCAAAGGGTGTGTCCACATTGATATGTCCTTTCATTGAGTAACCAGTTCCCTTCCCTCTAATCATATCCCATAGTGCCGAACCAAAGTCCTTAGGCCTAAATGTAATGGGAATATCAATGTAACTAATTCCATTTTTGTCAATTTTAGTCGATTTAGTGAGTTCAGCACCTCCAATGCTCACATCAGCAAGCCAAACCTCATAATCCAATGCATTGAGGCCCAAGTCAAAGTCATTCTTATTTTCTAATTTCAGGTGAAGAACAGCAACAGTTTCTTCAAATGAGAAACTCTCAAAGTGTATCTTCTCAAGATCAATATCTGGCTTGTAGGGTATGGGAATTTCACCAGTCTTCTCCAGTGGTAGAGTTAACCTCCCAAATACAGGTACATCAACAATGAGATCGACCTTGATTTTATAAGGAATTATGCTTCCAGGCTTGATATCATCATATGTGCTTTTAATGTCATCATATATCAGAGTAACTGGTACCTTGACAGTCTCCGAACCATGTGCATGAATTGTCCCTGCATCAGGGATCAGCCCAGACACAAGCTTCCTCCCATCACTCTCAATTAAGTAGTTTATATCTATCAGAGGAATTGGAACTGGATTTGGGTTTGTTATGAGCAAATCAACAACAATTTCAGCTTTATGCAGATCAATTGAAGGAATATGAACTCCGGAGACATCTGCAGTTGGCTTCCCAAATCCAATTGCTTCCTCAATCTTTTCTCCAATGTTGTGAATGAAATCCTTAACCTTGTCTATAAATCCTCCTTTTTCTTCATTTTTGTCTTCTTCCTTGTGATCCTTCTCTTTGGTACCCCTTTCAATTACTTCTGGATTATCAGAGGATGACATACCTTAAGAGCATAGAATTACAGATGTTAGGGATTCATGTTGTAAAAACCATATGCCAAAAATATCAAAAGATACAGGAATTAAGCTACACAAAGTAAATCCTACATATTAAAACTAATAACTCTCATTAAAGAGTGAAGCCAATGAAACATTTTGATAACATCTTTTAATTTTTTTTCTCTTTTTCCTTCAAAAGAAATTAAAATACTCAGAGCCAATGGGTAAAAACCAATTGATGTTTCAGAAACAAATGACAGACAGGCACCATATTAAAACTAAATAATGACATTAAATCAATGATCAATCTATTTTGGCAGATCCAGTGTATCAAATCCCAAATTCTATCAATTGATCCCTTAAAACAGAAACAGAAGAAGATGAGGGAACTTCAAACTGTCCCTTTTGCATGTCAATGTATAAAACTTATCATGCAACTCAAAAATGATAATATTCATATTTTCAAATTCTTGTAGGCTCTGAAAACAATTCATAAATAATATCATGTTTAAACCTAATCATCAGAAATTCATGTACTTCTAAGAAGCTGGACATTAACTTTGAGTGCCAGTTAAGATTAGCATTTTAAGGACATTGACCTACAAATGACCAAAGAGTAAATGTAAAAATTATTGACCCTGTTGGAATCAGCAAAGGCAATTGCCCAGATATGCCATTCTAATGGCTTGAGATATCAAGGAAGCAGTTCTTCTTTTACTTTTATATAAATTGTAAGAAGAACCTCAGAAACAACAAGTAGAAGAATATTCAGCTCATTAATGCATCTATAGGTGTTTGGATGTAGAAATCTAGAGCCAAAGAACATGTATACTACGGAAGAAAGTACATAACAGAGGTTCCCACCGTAGACTCTAGATATTCCCATGTTAATGTATCAGCATTTCCCAGATCAGCATACCGAAGATTGGAAAAGAAAAAAAAAAGACAAAAAGAAAGAAGCCTGAAGGACAGCAGACCATTAAATTTAGTATACATATTAAAAGAAAAAAAGGAGAATTGAGGGAGGCTCATGAAATTTCAGTTTCTGAGGTATTTAAATCAAGATCCAATCAGGGGAACCTGCTTCTTAAAAGCCCGCCCAAAAAGAGTATGTCTGACTACAAAAACAAGAACTGATCGGTTAAAAGCAAAGAGATCAAGCGATCAGAAAGGATGCAAAAACCGAGACATAATAGGTTAGGATTCAGTATTTGCATTGACTACAAAAAAAGGGAAGGGAAAAGAAATGAAGATCAAATAACCACTTGATCAGCATAAAATGTCTAATTTTTATGCGCAGTAGATGATCAAAGAAGTCGAATAGAAAGAAGTACGTGAGCATAAATCAGATCCTTCAACATCAATGCCATTCTCGCAATCGAAATTAAGTACACAAATAAAAAGGAAGAAAGGAATGCAATATATATCTCGATCAATCAAGTAACCAGTGTTTGAATGACAAAAATCCAGATCATAATCATTAAAAGAACTGAAAACAGAGTGATCAACAGAACGAATCAACAATCTCGTAAACCCCAATGCGAAATTTAGATCCAGATAAGTTCCAAGATAGAAGATTGTGATCTGCTCTTAGAATTAAATCAATGTCAGGAGGCGATCTTAACAATAGTAAAGTAGAGTGATAAAGAGAGAGATATACCTGCGGATCTGAAGAAATGGGATTGAACAAATCAGAATTTGCGGATGGAAAGAGAGAGAGAGAGAGAGAGAGAGAGCAAAAGAGCAAACTGAGCAAGTAGAGAGTAGAGACCAGTACAAGCCCTTTTTGTTTTATGTGTGGACGAGTTCGGACTTCGGACAGGGAGTCGAGATTACCGAGAGTGGATTCATTTGATCAAAAGTCAAAATAATCAAAAACGGTTATCAAGAACCACGCGACTACGCGGCTTTTGGGTTGAATTTGGATTATCAGTACTTAGGTTGGGCCCGGTCCTAACCTAAGGTAGCCTGACCCGGCCTGAGATCAGCCTGACTATACACATTATTACATACATACACAAATTTATGTGCATATATACATACATATATGCATACATAAACATTATATATATATATATGCACGTACATATTTATATGTATACATAAACATCAAATTTTAGAGTGAAATTATTGAACAACCCGAACTTAGCACAGGCCCGAGCCCAATTCGAGTGCATAAAATTATAATGTAGGCTGGGTTTGAACTGGAAAGACCAGGCTTGACCTTGGGCTAAATCTTAGGCCCAACTCTTAGGATTGGGCCTGGGTTGACCATAAACTTAACCCAACCTGACTTGCACCTCTAATCAGGGTTTGAGCATTATTTGGTTAAAAATGAACATTTCAGTTTTGGTCTTTTGGTTTTAAGGAATTTTAGTTCAATTCATTCAATTTTTGGGTTAATTTGGTTTTGATTTCAACTTTCAGATTCGAAAGTTTGATTAGTTAACCAAACCGAAAATTTTTAATCTAGTTATTTCGGTTTTAGCTTATTTGGTTTTGGGTTAATACGGTTTTTCCTCTTAGGCATTCAAATATTATTCGGTTCACCTCTAGTTTGGATAATAACTAGGGCATGAGCCCCCATATTAACTATGGGGCCAGTATTCAGATTTTTTTTAATTTATATATTTTAATAAGTTTTGTTTGACACCCATTTTTATATTATAAATTTAGGTAATTATTTTATTTGATTTTTTTAATGTATAAATTTATTATTTAATTAAGAGATTAAATCAAATTTTATTTAAAAATAATAACCTACTTTATGGATCTTACATTATTTGAAATAGCCACCGCCACTTTATGGATCTTTTTGAAATGATTTGAAATAGCCACCGCCACTTTATCGATCTTACATAATTTGAAATGATTTGAAGTAACACCGCTAAAAGGGGTGAGCATTAAAACAAGTTTTACAATCAACTCCTCAAACCGATAAAATAATTGGAGATTCGACTTTATGATCTTACATCATTTGAAATGATTTGAAGTAACCACCCCTAAAAGGGGTGAGCATTAAAACAAGTTTTACAATCAACTCCTCAAACTGATAAAATGATTGGAGATTCGAATGAATGACCAGAATAGATGGAATGAATGGAATGATCCCCATTCACATCATGAACCCTACTATATAGATGAAGGGAGGGGTTCACTTCATGCATGGGCAAAGATCGAAAATTCCAAAATATTCTTTGGGCAATTAAGGGATCTAGTCCCTAGACTGCTCCGATGGGGACATATGTCGGGCTACGATGCAAGGAACATATTTGCTTTGATTCCAATTGAGGCAAGCGCCTACTATGTGTTGTCTCAAGGGAGACAAGATCAGTCGTACAAACAACTTAACTTTTCAGTTATTTACCCTGTAGACCATGGCTTGTTTAATTTACGTTGTCTTGCATCTCATTGGGCTATTCATAAGAAGACCCAACCCGACCAAACTGACCAACTCGGATCGATCTAATCTAAGCCGGCCAAGTTTTCTTCAGTACCGATCGGTTTCGGATTATAAAAAATCATAAACCGATGATTCGGTTCGGTTTTACTTTTCATGTGTGAAAACCGAAATCGATCCAAACTGAACCGACTTAGTAGTTAATTCTTAGTTAGTAGTTACAACCTACTTAGTTCCTACTTAACTAAGTTGTCTCTATCCTAGTTATAACCTAAGTTAGGTTGTACAACAACTAAGTCACCACTAAGTAGAGCCAAAACCGACCCAAACCGTCAGAAACCGATCAGGTCGGTTTTGCTTAACATAGGTCGGTTTCGGTTTCAATTACAGGTAACTCGACCAGGTCGAATCGGTTGGAAAAACATCAGTAAACCGACCCAACCCGACCCGTGAACAGCCCTAGCTTCCCATGAAGGGTATCCGTGGTTTAGGTCTAAGTGTAAAGAGTATCCTCCTTGGATATAAGCATGTAGTTTTGCTATACTGGCTAGTTCGTGGCATTACTTTAGTATTATATAAGTCTATTCCTTTACGGGTAGATAAAATATTTTTTTTTATAATTTTTAGATTTTAGTAAATTTTGGGAGAAATTAAATATTAAATTATTTATTTTAGTTTTTATAATTATAACTTTATTTCAGTTTTTATAATTTAATTTTCAATTTTTATTAATTTTGTTGGGAAATTTTATTTTGTTAGTATTTTTTATATAAATAATAATTTTATTTTTTCAAATAATAAATTTGTATTCCTTCTTAACATAAAGTTTATATGTAAAATAAAATATATAAATCAGCTAAGGTAGATAAAATAAATTATTTTAATAATTTTCAGTTTTTATTAAATATTTTTAAAAAAATTAAATCTTAAATTATTTATTTCAGTTTTTATAATTATAATTTTCAATTTTTATTAAAGTTCAAAAACAACCCAAAAATGATCAATACACAGTTTTCCATATATATCACTGCCTATCAAACTGTATATATTCATCGATATCACACAATACGGCTTAATACAAAGACATCATGCAATAAACATGCTCATGGGATCATTTCTTGCATGGCCACTTAGAAGAAGATCTCTACATGAAGCAATCTATTGGATTCGTTGATTTAAGAAACCCTAATTATGTGTGTAGGCTTCACAAAGCTCTGTACAGACTCGAGTAGGTCCCTAGAGCATGGTTCAAACACTTTTGTCATTATCTTCTCACTTGAATTCTCTGACTCCAAAACTGATGCTTTATTATTCATTCTGCGTACAACCAATGATATAACTGTCTTTCTCGTAGATGTTGATGACATTTTGATAACAGAATCAAATCCTACAACCATTCAGAACATCATCTTGGATCTTACATCACAATTTTTTCTCAAGGACCTTGGTCAACCACATTTCTTCTTAGGCATTGAAATTCATTGCTCCAATCAAGATATCCATCTCTCACAACACAAATACATAGAAGACCTTCTAAGATGCATGAGGCAAAACCTTGCTCTACCCCCATGGCAACTTGCATTCACCTCACCTCCACAAGTGGAGATCCCATTTCCAATGTCTTTGAGTATTGAAGTATAGTTGGCGTACTTCAATACGTGATTCTCACATGACTAGAACTTGCATTACTTACTTTGTCAACAAAGTATGCCGATTTCTAAAAACTCCAACCATTGGATATTGGTCTGGATTGTCCAATTTGTTTACATTTGTTTTAATTTAGATTAATTCTAACCCAGACTTGATCCATTGACGACAATTTTCTTATCTTCTACCGATTGACTAGATATTGGCTTAATCCAACTCAATCCAACATAAATTCAAGATGAACCACGTCCAATCCAATCCAATAAATACCTTGGACCATGCATTAAATTTAGACTGGTCTAATTCAATATGTCTTGTTGGTCTATCCAATCTGTCCAAATTGGTTTTGGTTTGGATAGGCTCCAATCCAAAACCAGTCCATTGACACCCCTATTTGGGTGGTAGTAGCGGCATGGTTCAATCGTCGGTTGTAGTTGTGATGAAGAGTGATTTGGCGCGACCTAACGAGAAGGGGACACGTGGACACGACCTGACTAAGGGATGACAGCTCAGCTTAGCAAGACTAATTCGCAACGTTTGAGCTCGGGTGTTCGTTCACCTCGGTACAGAGTCACCTCGGCACAGAGTCACCTCAGAGCAGAGTCACCTCGGTACAGAGTCACCTCGGCACAGAGTCACCTCGGCGCAGAGTCACCTCGGCACAGGGTCACCTCGGCATTCAATCCAGTTCGGAACTAAAGAACCGAAGTATCAGCTCAGGGCTATCAACCCGAACCGCCACATAACGACTCCAGAAGTTTCTTCAGTAGAACCCGAACCTCACGGGATCACGTCGCGTAACGACAGGCCTAATCTTCTCGCCGCCCGGATCGGGCGGAATTGATAAAATTTATTAATTGATACGTTACTCCCCAATTAAAGCGGAAACGGATCCCCTCAGGACGAAGATCCCGGAACTGATCCGCAAAACCCACGAGAGCTCAACTATATAAAGGCACCAACCCTAATGACACAAGGTACGCGTGATTTTTCTACTCTCTAGCTCTCTAGGTCTCAAGCTCTCAAAGCTTTCAGCTCGCACTACAGTACACTAACTTATGCATCGGAGCGACCTCGCCGGGTTAGTCACCCCGAGTTCTCTGATCCACTGTTTTGCAGATTCACCTAGCTCACTGCTCGATTGGAAGCTAGATCATCCTCCAGCAGGGAGTAGTCAGATCGCGCTATATCAATTGGCGTCGTCTATGGGAAACGACCGAAAAGTCATCTCCTTTTTTATAGTCATCAACCTTACTCTTACGTCAATGGCATCTTCCAGTCACGCCGAACAAAGTAGCGAGATGAACGTCTCTAGGGGACAACCCCAACTACCTTCGGTGTGCATCGGCCAGTTCACCATCCTGCTCACTGCGGCTGGGGTTCCAACGTTGACCGTGCCACCGAGCACCACACAGGTGAACACCCCACTTCCCCCAATGGTAGGCGCAACCTTTTCTGAGCCTTTTGTGGTTCCCCCCAGAGTTGGATAGTCCTAGTTCAACAACCTAGTGTAGTGTGTTCGGGCCATCCAGGTCCAGATGCAGCAGGTTTGGCAATTCCAACAATACCAGTAGTACCAGCAGCAGTTCCCTCCACTGCCACAGAACCAACAACCGGTTCCACCAAGGCACCCAGGGGCCTAGTAGAATCAGAACCGACCTCGCGTAAACCAGGATGTCACCCGATCTCCCCATCGAGGTGAAGAGACTTCCCAAGTCCCTGTTCCTCTCAGAAGTTAGGTCTCACCCCGTGGGAGGAGAGACGATCAGATTACTCCACCTGCCTCACAAGGGAAC